AAACAGAGCTATGCAAGGAGAAACTCACCAAGGTATCACCAGCAGCTGCAAAGAGCCCACCCCAGCAGAGGCTTAAAGAGCAACTTCACTGGGCAGCCCACAAAGCTGGGAAAGCCTCACCGTGCCTGATCACTGATTGCCTCCCTTCTATGCCTGGAAGCTAGGGAGACACACCTCAGGGAGCACTGCACCAAGCTGTCAGGTCAAGGATGAGTCCCTCACCAGGGCCTCCCTGCAGACGTCTCCAGAGTTACTGTCTGAACAGTCACTGCTCAGAGGGACAGGGATAGCAGCAATGAATATGCTAGACAACAGGCGTTAACTGGGGGCAGGCCCTGAAGGAAGGGCTGCTACCAGGCGTGGGCAGCAGGCTCAGCTCCTTGGGGCCTGCCTCAGTATCAGAGGATAGGTGACACTGTGGGTGTACCTACTTAGAGAGACTGAGCCAGGTAGGCCACAAAAACCAGAGTGTCAGTCCCCTTAGGGGGCTGGCCTGGGCTAGCAACTCAGTCAGATTTCTCCCTTGCCAACTCCACTTCCTCCTTCCTGACAGGCCATCTTGTACCCAAACTCTGCTTCTGGAGAATCCAACCCCCATGGGAGAAGAAAGTCGATTATTTGGGGGTTAGAACTGGGTCACTCATTACCATCGCTGGTGGTAAGGAGACAGCAGGGCCCTGGCACAAGGTGGCCATCCTGTCCAGTCTGGTTGTTAAGTCTGCTCCAGTGTTGAGTTAGAAGGTGCCAGGGGAAGAGGACACACTGGTGGCCCAGCCAATTGTGTGTTGAGATAGATGCACAAACAAGAGGGGTGCTCCAAGGATGGTGAGTGACTGCCTCATAGCAGATAAGAAGCAGGCAGCCGAGGCAAATGTGAGGTAGCCTCTGTCACTCACAAAGATACTCCACCTGGAGGGCAGAGGTGGCCAGGCCCAGGTGTACCAGTTTCAGGCACCCCCCATCCCCCCACATCACTGCTGGTCAACATCAGGCCAAGGCTGCTATGCTGAGGCCAGAGCCCCACCTAGGAGAACCTGGAACCCTGAATGGGGAGGGGGAAGTTGGGCAGTACCTAAAGAGTCCCCAGACTCTTGGGAAGCTTCTGAGCCTGCAGACAGATACAAACCACCTCTGGCTCTTCTCTGAGAAGACAGACCCTCAGGCTTCTCTACTTCACTCTTGGCCTTCAAGGCTGTAACTAAGGTGAAGTGTCAGATCATCCAGTGGCAAGGGAACAGGGGCTGCAGAACCTGACCAGCTCAGGTACAGGAATCAGGAACACTAGTGATACTAGACTCTGAGATGCCTTATGGAGGAGCTGAAACCTAAAGCAGTGTACCAAGACACAGGATTTAACACCTGGGCAGGGCTTGCAGACACAGAGCAAACCTGGCAGGTTCTAGAAGCATGAACAACCCTACAGCTTTTGCTGAGTAGGGTAGAGATACCAGAAATCCTGTGGCTGGTGGTGCAGGGTGAGCCCAAAGGGCTTGGGGAAGCAGGCAGTGGGCATGGTTGAATGTCTGGTAAGAGCTGTCAAGGGCTAGTTCCTGGAAAGGCCAAGGGTATACCACTCACCTGTGCCCACGCTAATTAGCTGTTAGTGCAGCAGTCCTGCAGTCCTGTGTACGGGCCCATGGTGGGAACTATCATTCCAGGGCATGGCTTGCCAAGCATAGTGGGATCAGGATTCTAATGAGCAGAGGCCAGGTCCTTGCCCACCAGAAGTCAGGAGACAATCATGAAAACAGCTGCTAAGGGAAAGGGTGCCAAGGGCCTGCCTTCAAGGGTGGTGGGGTGTTAACAGGAGGAAAGGGCTAGGCCACCAACAAGGATACCACTCAGGCGGAACCAACAAAGTAGGTCAAGGGTTGCTGAGGGCAGTCACCCCAATAAAGAGCCCCAATACTGGCCCATACCATGCCTGAGTCTGCTTCCAGACCTGGGGCCCACTGAACTGGTGGGCAGGCCTGCAAGAGGAAGGTCCCTCTCCCCACCAGCAAGTGCTCATGACAAGGACTTCCCAGGGACTGAGCACTGGAGAGGGGACCATCCAGATATTTCTGAGCCACTGGGCACATAATGGTCCCCAAATGTCATGAGGGCCCTGTAAAAGTAGCAGTTAATAATGGAGTCCTGCCCGGGACCACCTCCCATGAGCCCAAAGGCCTAGAATCCCACCCAGGGGTCACTTCCTGATCTCCAAATATATGACTGGGCTTAACATGTGGGGAGTGAGAGACATCCTTGTTGCATCATTGGGGTAGAGATGTCACCATTGGGAAGGCCAACGGGGGGGGGGACACTGAAACTACAGTATCCCCCTCCCACCAAGGCACCACAACAGTAAAGGCATCTTGAGGAGGGTGGAAATAGGGACACCTCAGGGTTCTCATGATGCAGGGTGGTGGCCCCAGTGTCTCTCCATTTGGTTCAGTGTGGCCCTGTGGATGGGCTCAGCAGAAGGGCAGTCCAGTGGAGCAGGTCCTAGAGGCCCAGATACCAAGTGTGTGGCCATCAATTGGACAAACACACCAGGAAAGATCAGAAACTGCTCACGTTTGTGTGGAATGGACAATCAGGTATTTGCAGTTGCTCTGGGGACTTCTGCCATGATACAGGAGTAAGGTAGAGATACCAGACTCATGTGGCCAGTGATGAAGGGTGGGCCCAAAGTGTTCGGGGAGGTAGACAGAGGGTGTGGGCAAGTGTGTGATGGGATCTGGCTAGACACCCATAAGAACATTGTGCTGATCGGCTACATTGCCAACATGATGCTGATGGAGTTGGAGGAGCAAGAGACAGCAGGAGAATCATATGGAGATCAGGACCTATTGCATCGGAAGACATTAGGGGGTCCCAGAGTCCAAGATCTGCCAGGCGTCCCCTCCCAAGTCAAGAATGCATCTGGCACCTCCCACCAGAAGGAAGCACAAGGCCTCAGGGGTCTCTGCAGGCTCTGGAGGAGTGTTTTCCACACTGAGGAATACAGTTCTAGCATCATACCAGATGGCCGAAAGGAGGCAGGTTGCATGGGACCCACAACAGGTGGGAGAAAGTACACTGCAGAAGACTGACCTTTCTATACTTCCACTCAGGAGCAGGTCTGGGACACAGGGATGCAGGTCGTAGCTGTGGACTTTGGGATGAACTGCCCAGACCTCCTTTTGAGAAGGTAGTATCCAACAGAAGGACATGGCCTCCGCCATCAAGGTGTTCCTCAGGGCCAGAGCTCCTGGGGGTCTAGGGAGACAGAGACTCTCCACATGAACGCCTAGCCAGTCTGGGCAGAGTTCTGCATGAGAGTTTGCTCCAAACACTTCATGAGTGCCCATAATGCTCTATCTTGACATGGACTCAGCCCCTTCCACTGTATTCCCTTTACAAGAACTGACCCGAAAAACATCTCAACCCCTAACTATCTCAGAAGCTAAGGTGCCCTGCACTAGGCCTGCTCGCTCATACTCAAAGACTGCTCTGAGGGTCAGCTGTGACCCACTGAAGCCTTCAGCTCAGGCACTGTCGTTTCTGGGGTTTTTTCTTTGGTGGCCTGCTCCTCACTACTGGCCCTGATTTCCACATCCTGACGGGGAGCAAAACTGGCTTCACTGGCAGTCAGTACAGAAGACACTAGACTAGCGAGAGCTATCACAGGGTCCTGCCAGTGAAATGAGGGCCTGTGCCAGGTCATGCCAATGGGGCAGGGAGAGCCCCAGCTGCAGTCAGGTCCCTGCTGCTCTGGATGGTGCCCAAGATGTAGAGGAACCCAGCTGCTCCTGCCACTAGAGGGCTAAAGGACGGGGAGGGCAGCTCTCTGTGAGTTGGGTCAGTAGGGTGGTTGCAACAGCCAGGGCATGGAGGGGGAGTAGCACAGGGCTATCCCTGAGGGCACAGACTCTAATGGGAACACAGAAGCCAGGAGATGAGAGTGAGCATAATCAGGGCAGGAGGGTCTAAACCAGGCTCTCTGGGTCTCCCCAGCTTCCAAGAGACCCAGGAAGTAAAAGAAAAAGAGATTAGTGATGCCCCTCTCCACCCAGAGTCTGGAACTGCCCCTGCAATATTCAGGACACCCACTGCTTTCATTGCTGCATTTAATGTGTGGAGGGGAAGACAGGGATGGAGAAACCAGCAATCCTAGGGCATCTTGAAGGTGAATTCTGGCTGAAGGCTGAGGTGCCATTTAGACCCAAGGATCCCCATCCAAATGGACCTCGGGTTCTTGCTTCTGCAGCAGATCCTGTTCTAATATCCATTCCCAAGATGTCTTTCTTCACTGTCAGCTTTGGGCAGCATCTGGCCTCTTTTCTCATCACTCCCAAGTCCATCAGTCTTCTGTGTCTCCCAAGCCTGAATCCTCCCAGCCCAGCCTCCCTTCGGCCTCCTGTCCTGGGGCATGCCCCATGCCCACCACTCCAAACTTCTGCCCACTCATCACCTCTCCCCAAACCTGCCCTGCTTGTCCCTCAGGCGCCCTGTCCCCTCCAGAAGCCATCTCCATGCTCACCCATCTCAGCATATACAAGCCTGCTCAGTGAGAGTGAATTCAGCCTCAAGCTACTTGGAACAAGATTAATCTGAAAACTGCTCAGTGCTCAAGTTTATTTATAAAGTTCCATCCTAAAAAATGATTCAAGTAATAAATAGTTTTAAATAGGATTTGCTGCCATACACTCCTGCCTGGTATAATGCCTCTGTCTGGAGTCAACTAAAGAGGATTTAGAGGCCAGGCATGGTGGCTCAAGCCCGTAATCCCAGCACTCGGGAGGCCGAGGCAAGAGGACTGCCTGAGCTCAGGGGTTTGAGACCAGCCTGGGCAACTCGGTGGGACCTTGTTTCTACAATAAATTTAAAAAAAAAAATTAGCCGGGTGTGGTAGCGCACGCCTGTAGTTCCAGCTACTTGGAAGGTTAAGGAGGAAGGATCGCCTAAGCCCAGCAGGTCGAGCCTGTGGTGGCTGTGAGCATGCCACTGCACTCCAGCCTGGGCGACAGAGTGAGACTCCGAGTCAAAAAAAAAAAGAGGATTTGGGAGGAATTCTGGGATGCTCTGGGATCCTCTTCTGTCTCAGAGGTGTAACAGATGCCACTGAATTTCCTGTCTTCCTGCAGCACCTGCTCACTCCCAGAGCTGTCTCCCTAGGATGGAGACTTCAAATGGACAGTCAGGCAGCAGCCAACTTGCAGAGTGGGGAGGCGGCCGAAGTTCAGAACCAGCCATTACAATGTTGAGGCTGGTGGCACCAGTGTGAACGGGCCAGCGGCTGGGACCCTGGCAGCTCCTCGGGCCCTCAGGCCCCATCACCTGAGCTGGCACAGGGGGCCACTGGTTAGGATTTCATCACTGCCATGATGGAGACCTGTGAGAAGAGAGATGGGCAGGGCTGGACAGCAGCTATACTTGCAGCCTTCCCCTCCTCATGCCCTCTTGAATGTGGCCAGGGAATAGGAGCAGCCCCAGCTCCCCAGAGCTCTGCCCAGGGGACCTCACAGGAAAAGACTAGGACGCCTGCTTTGGGCCATTGGGAGACCCCAGGCCACAAGCAGCCCAGCAGGAGAGTTGGACTGGGGGTCATGTACACACCTCCTGGAGGGACTGACCCAGCATCTCTTGGCTGTGAATGGATGGCCTGTGGAGAGAGAACCAGGTCAGCCTCCCAGACCTCGTCCGAACACATAGGGCCTGCACGCTCCTAACCCACCTCCCGCTAGACTCTCCTCCCAGGTCAGACCAGCCAAGAAGAGTCCCCAGGCAGGTATGTCTGCTCTGGTCTCTGCCAGGACAAGGAGGAGACTGGGAGTGTGGGGTGGGCAAGAGAGAGCCAGGAAGAGACAGGTGAGAACTAAGATGCCAGGACCCCAGTTTCCTGCTGACGACACTAGGCCTCAGAGTCCTACCTGTCTATTCTGGTTGCTATGGTCACTGTGAAGGCCCCCTCTGTGTCTGGCAGGTAGGTGGAGGGCACAATCCTGTAGGTCCCCGCAGGCAGAAGGCAGAGCCGGCTTACTTCCTGGGCGTAGCAATGTGGCACACAGCTCAGCAGTGGTTCCTGCTTCAGCAGTGGGGGTGTACCCTGGCTCTCACCACCCTCCAGGACCTGGGGGAGGCACAGGCTCAGACGGGGGAGGCCTGCTGTGCGGTGGGAGGCGCTGCACACAGCTGGGAGGTGTGGTCTCCTTCCTCACAGCTACAGCTGGGGACGCACAGCCTGGGGACCTGGTCACAGTCGGGTGCCTTCTACTTGGATGCTCCCAGCTCTCCTGAGTCACATACAACCTTTTTCCTAGAATGAACATTGGACTCACCTCACCAAGGCCTGGCCACCCTTACCAGAAGGTACAGTCTGTGAGGTCCAGGCCTAGAGGCATGTCAGTTCACCAGGGAGCTGTAAAACTGCCTAGCCCACTCCAAACACTCAGACAGGCCACTGGGCTCTGGTATTTTTTTCAGAGCCCCTGCAGACCCCAGCAGGCAGCCTGGAGTGAGAAGCAGCAAGATTTCAGGAGTCTCCCGTCAGCTATCTGTAAACCAGGTTATAGCACCTTCTTAATCAAGGGAAATCCTGCTCTTTCCTCCCCCAGGTCACCTGCATTCCAGGCTACGCATGCCACTGCACAACAAATCCTCAGGCACCCTCCAGCACACAGTCTTCTGGAGGTGGACCCCAGAGCAAGCCTAGCCTCTTGTGGATGGGGAGCCTTCCATTGTCACCAGGGTCTATGACCTGACGTCAGCAAGTAGCCTCTCTCTCTTCCTTTGGCTACAAATCTGCTGAGTGTCTTCAACTGCATTGCTAGCGAGAGATAAGACAGAGCAGGGAACCTGGGCAGCATCTGTGACTTACTGACATTTCCTTGGCACAGGTACTCCTCATCTGCACAACCTCCTCTCCCCTGTGCAGCAACATCTGGCAGAAGGACCATCAGGGTCCCCATCACGAGGTGCCCACAACTGGCTTCCCCTTCCTGACCCCATCCTCCCTCCACAGTGACCCTGGGCTTACATCTCCCTCAAGTGACAGTAGAGACACTGTCAAGCTGTCCTGTGTTGTGCCTTCTGCCTGCTGTCTAGGATCCAGGCCCCCTGTGTGGCTAAGCCCACCTGCATGCTCCTGCAGCCTCAATTGCTGGCTTCCCAGCAGGGGACCCATCCCTGATAAGCTCCTTACCCATCTGATTCTGTGTCTGCTCTGACAGCCTCTCTCCACCTGCTGAATTCGACAGCACCACACAGTGGACTGCCTGATGTACCATGCTGCTCAACAATCTTGGCCATGCATGGGTCACTCCCTCCTTCTCCTGCTCTTCTAGCCACCTCAAGTCCCTCCTCACCAAAAACCCAGGCCATTGCTTCTTCCCAGCTCCTAGCCAGCACTCACTCCAAGGAGCTGCCTGTCATTGGCTAGGCCATTCAGGTTTCTCCCTCCTGCATTCAGGTACCCAGTGATACAGGGCTAGGGAAGGGCAGGTGGTGTGACTTGGGCAGTTCCTGGGTGTATAAACCACTCCCCTGGACATGAGTCAGGTGGGACCTCCCTGCAGTCACCTCCAGGGGCCACATGGAGGGGCTGAGTCTCCACCCTGAACTCCCAGAGCAGCCCACAGAGCCCAAGGTCCTGGGGTGGGAGGTGGGGTTCTAGGGAGAACAGACCTCTAAACAGTCGTTCTGAGTCAAGGTTGAGTGGACAAGGGGCTGCCTGGGCTGACTCCAGTAAATACAGACTTTCTAAAACTGAGAAAGGACTCTTTGTGACCAGTCTGCCTGGCTGACATGCCCAAATGACTGGCCAGAGCTCTGTGTCACACCAAGCCATCCGCCAAGACAATGGGGACCAAGATGCAAATTCTCCGAGGGGTCTCTCCTTACTCCCTTGGCTCCCGCTCCCTCCCTGGGGTGAGGGGCTTGCCTGGAAGACGTGGAAGCCAATGGGGTGAAATTCGCTGTTGCTGAGCCGGCAGTGCTGATGCAGGGTGAGGCGCACGCAGCGGGGACCAGGACCCTCGGGGACCGAGAAGGGGAGGCAGGGGTTGGTGGGGTAGGAGGCAAAGTTCCTGCTGCCCCCAGCGGTCTGGCCAGCTCTCCAGGAGCCCCGCAGCTGCACGATCCCCCACTCCCCAGTGGGCACGGCTGCCCCAGGGGCGACGCTCTTGGCCACTGCCCTGACGGCACTGTTGGGAGAGACAAGGACGGGAAGGCACTGGAGGTGGGTTTGGGGTGTGAATCATGGCATGAGCACCCACCAACCCTGGAGAGGAACTGCTCGAATTTTGCTCTGAAGGGCCCTTGCTGCAGCCTCCAAAAGCAAACAGCCCGTATCGGCTCCTCACCTCAGGGAGACTCTCCCGGTAGAGAAGACTCGGAGCAGGAACTGCCCAGACACGTCCTTCAGGAAGGTGCTAGGGACAGCCAGGTAGTAGCCCGGCGAGAGCTCACAGTGTAGATGGACCTCTCGGTCGTACGCGTGGCACACGGTGCCAGCCACGGGGGGCGTGGACAGGACTCTAGGCAGGCTGACCCGCCGCTTCTCCACCTGTAAGCATGCAGGCAGGAGGTTCAGTGGAGAGGGGAGGCCTGTGGCAAACACCCTGGCCTCAATAGATAAAAGTGCCAAGGCCTGTCAGTCTTGCTCGCCCTCAGGGGTCAGCTGGAAATGCCCACAAATGCAGGGCTTCCCCAGCCCTGGGGCCCATGTCTGTCCCAGTGTGAGCCTACAAGTCCTGCAGAGGAAGAAAATAACCTACAAGTCCTCCTGTGCAGCAAGATACATCCACATAGGGCTGGGCCCACTAAGAAACCACCTCTTTTGCAAGAGGAAAGGAACATAATGTAGGCCACACCCACAAAGGGACTGGGAACAATTTGGTGTGAGCTATCACACCCTATCAAGATACACAAGTCCATGAGCAAGTAGGCAACACACTCTTGACAGGACCACACAGGCCCTGCTTGCTAACGTCTCCTTCAGTTCTTCCAGGAAACAGCACTCTTTACAAACTAGTTGCTGAGCAAGTGACAGACTGGGCCTCAAAGCAATCTCATGAGATCAGTGTCAGGATCCCCATGTTGCAGCAGAAGAGACTGAGGGAGGAAGGCAGAGGTCACATAGCAGTAGCAGAGCTGGGGTTTAGCCCTGGTGGCTTCTACTCTCCCTGCTTTAGAAAGGCATGGCACAGCCAGGAGCCAATGGGCCAGGCCCTTCTGTTGGCCTCTGCCCTGGCTGCAGCTGCTTTATTTCCTTTTGCCATCAGAGCACTCAAGACAGACAGAGGAAGCCCAACCATGTAGATGCAGGTCAGAGCACCAGCAGGTGTTTGAACCCCATGAGGCAGCCAGAGGAAATGGGAGATGGATGGGACCCTTGGCAGAGCTGCATGTGTCCTGGTGGGATCATTTCTGGAACCCAGACCTCTACGAGCCCCTACACCACCAGGCAAGGAGCCAGGTAGTGCTGAGTTACCTTCCAGATGTGCAGGCCCACAGCCTGGTAGTCCTTGCCCTGGAAGCTTGCTGGGCTCCATGAGGTCTGGTTGTCGCCTACCAGTGCCTGGGTCCGGCCTGCCCAGTCCGCCATGTGCATCCTGGGTCTCTGCAGGACGGCAACGTACACCTCGCTTGGTTCTGAGACCCGCAGCCAGAATTTGGGGTTGCTGGGAAAGCCGCTGTTGTTCCGGCAGCCTCCTGCCGATTGCCCCTTGACCCACGCCCCAGGCAGTGCCCGGGTGTGGCAGAGCACCTTTTCTAGTACGAGAACAACCATGCATCAGCCTTAAGAAGGGGCGCCACAGTGCTTCCCACTATCCTGACAAGCTGAGGCAGGGTCTGAAGATCGCTACGGTCACCTGGAAAACCAGCACCTCCCAAGAGCCCACCTTCCTCCCACCTCCTCCAGACCCCTGGGATGAGGAGGAAATGGAACAATTTTCCACAGTAGAGAAGCAACAAGGGCTTGGGCAAGGGTGCGCCCAGCGTCACCCACAGTGGAACTTGGGCTACCTCCTCAGTGTTCTCACCTCAGCAGGTAGAGTAGCTCCCAACACAGCCCCTCAGGGTGTTACCTGTGTAGAGACTCTGCAGGTGGCCGGCCTCTGTGACTGGGTAGCCAATGGTGACCTCATCAAACTCCCTGAGGAACTCTTCCTCCTCCACCCAGAACTCCCCTTCCTGGAGCTGGGACAGGAGTTCAGCTGCTTCTGCTGCATCTACCTGGCTCCACCCCTCACCCCTGGAAGAAACCTTATTTCAGCAAAAGTCTCTCTCAAGAGCTGCCAGCATCAACTGACAGGCAGGGTGGGAGAGAACCTGGAGGGGCCCGAGAGCTCTGGGTTCCTGTGTACCCTTGATGGCCTGGCTCCACAACCCTCTCCCATGCTCAGAGGAGCATTTCAGTGCTAGGCCTTCTGAGCAGCAGGCACCCATCAGAGCCCTTCTTCTCCCTCAAGAGGTGCTTCTTGCCTCTGAATGTGTCTTCCCAGGGCTGCTCCTCCAGAGCTCAGAATGACGTCTTGGATGAAACCCCAGGGCCAAGGGCCACTTTGGACCCAGGCTTCATGAAGACTATATGGGACAAAGACAGAGGCATGGGGGCCCACAAGCAGGTGCTAAGTGAGCCTTGCTGGAAACATCCAAGTACTGTCCTGACAGCTAGAAGTGACCAGGGCATAGATCAGATGGGCTCTGAGGAATGTTCAGAACAGAACATGTAGACATGTACAGTCTCAGGCCAGGCACAGTGGCTCACACCTATAATTCCAGTACTCTGGAAGGCTGAGGCAGGAGACTTGCTTGAGCCCAGGAATTCGAGAGTCGCCTGGGCAACATAACAAAACCCTGTCTCTATAAAAAATTTAAAAAAGAAAAAATAGACATATATAGTGTCAACAGGCCCTCTTCCCAACAGCAGCAAGGCCCGGCCCTTGCACTCACCCCTCTCTCCAGAGCCCCTGCCAGCACCGCCGACCCCAGGGGTTATGAATCCGCAGCAGCAGGATGCCCTGGCCGGTAGGACTCTGGAGCTCCCGGAGATCCGAGACAATGAAGGCATGAAACTCCCCCAGCTCCCTGGCACCTGCGTGAGGAACAGCTCAGGCACCAGCAAGATGCATTATGAAGCCCACATACTGACAAGGACGCACAGGTCTCTGTCTCCTTACCCAGAAGATACTCCAGCCAAGCTTTGGCTCCATAGGAGGCCCCGGGTCATCATGGACCATAGGAACTCCTTTCCTAACAAGCACAGGCCAGTCAGCTCAGAGGTGTCCTTACAGAACATACTGAGACATGGTGATGGCCAAGATCTGGACCCTTGCTCAGTTGCCACCAGGTCTGGTGCTGGGCAAGTCATCCCTCTCTCTGGGGCCCAGTTGTCACCTATACACATCTGTGCAAGATCTGGCACAGGGCCAGTTCTCAAACATGCCACTACTATTACTGTGATTGATGCATCTGCAACTGCAAAGAAGCAAGAGAACTCTCCTCTAGGCAAAGCCAGCTGGAGGCAGGAGACATTTGGAGAGCGCTCCCACTAGAAATGCCCAGGAGCACGCAAGGTCCAGAGGGGGACGGCTCCACTTGGCCAGAGACCTTGAGACAGATGGATGCAGAAATAGGAGTACAAACAGAGAGGAGCACCATATCCATGGAGCCCAGTGGCCCAGAAGGAAGAAAAAGACTCCTGCAAGGACTTCAGTGCTTCAATTAGAAGAACACGGCCCAGTGCCATGTTAGCAGAATCCAGTGCACTTACAGTGCCAGCAGTCATATCTCTGCCTGGGAGCTTTCTCTAAAGACTGAACTGCCAGGGATTAGCCCTACCTCACGCTGGGAGGGAGCAGTTTGAAACCAAGAGGTCCCACAGAGCTGATGTTTAATATGCTGGAGCCCTCACTTCCAGGAGGGAGGCTCTGAGGCCCATGTCCTACACCGTGTCTCAGTGAGTCTGGCAGGAAGCACACGCCCTCCGGGCTTCTGGCCCCTCCCAATGTGCTCCTAAATCCTATCACACGGTCTCCCTGAGTGAGACCCAGACCAGGGCCTACACCAACCTTCACACACATGCTGGGCAGTGTGACTGTCAACAGGTTTTGATTCATTTTGATATTCATATTCTTTGACCAAAATTATAAAAATAATCCTAAAATTAAAAAATTATACATAAAGATGTTCACAGCAATATTATTTATAATCATATAACATCAGAAAGACCTTAAATATCTAACATCAGGGAAGGATTAAGAAGACAACGGCAGGCTGGGTGCAGTGGCTCACGTCTGTAATCCCAGCAATTTGGGAGGCCAAAGCAGGAGGATCACTTGAGGCTAGGTGTTTGAGACCAGCCAAGACAATATAATGAGACCTCAATACTACAAAAAAATAAAAAATAAAAAAAAATTAGCCAGGAGTAGTGGCAAGCATTTGTAGTCCCAGCTACTTGGGGAGGTTGAGGATGGAGGATCACCTGAGCCCAGGAGGTAGAGGTTGCGATGAGCTGTGATTGTGCCACAGTCCTCTGGCCTGGGTGACAGAGTGAGACTCAAAAAAAAAAGAAAGAAAGAAAATGGCAAACCCACTAATGAAGTAAAATGCTGACAAAACTTACATAATAACATTAAAATAAGAGAATGTAAAATGCCTATGTTTATGAAAAAATGAAGAAAGTGCACTAGAAAGTCACATGCGGTTATAGTCAAGCGATTTTTCTTTCTTTTCCTGTAAACAAACTTTCTTTAATGAGCATACATCTCACTACAATTAAAGTGGGTTTTGGTTGAGCCAGCTTGCCAGCTGGCCAAGAATGGCACATACAATGGGCTTCAACTTGGGCAACTTGCCTCCTAGAACACCTCTGCGTGACAGTGACCACCACATAGGTTCCTTCTTCATGACAGCTGAAAGGATTGGTCAAGGGAAAGAAGGATCACCTCCCTCTGCAGAAGGAGGACAGTAGGGAAAGTCACAAACCCAGGACACTACCCTTGAGGACAAATTTCCATTTTCCTACTTAGTCCTAACAGGGCTAAATAGTTACATAAAAAGTTACTGTGTGCCTGAGGCCAGTCTGTGAGGGGCAGACGTCCTGCAGCCTCACCATGCTGGCCACAGGCCTTACCTGCTCTGGGGCTGAGCACCGAGCAGCTGATCGAACACCGGTCCTTCAGGTGGAGTAGCTGCCGACAAGTCCTGCGCTCCAAGCTGCCAGGTGGGCTCTGCTGGTCACTGGCTGCTGCCAAGTCCTTCAGATTCCACCTTTCTGCCAAGCCACCGGTTAGGTCCACCAGGGCATCTGCCACCTGACCTGCCCACAGGTGTTCATAGGACCCGTAGACCCTAGGGCACACAATCACAATGGAGTGGGCTTCTGGCACTGGCATGGCTGCCTGCCACACTCCTGTTCCTGCGCCTACAACACTCATAAATCATCTGATCCACACTTCCACTGTGCCTCTTTATTCCCCTCTTTGTCTTCTACCTTGTCTTCACCAAGTCTAGATTTGGCCTCATCTTCAAACGCCTTCGTTCAGTGTCCCATGAATACCCTGATGTTCTCTGCCCACATTCAGATCCTTTTGTGGCTCTAATGTGGACACGGGTTTATGGTAGGTCAGTGCAAAGGCTATGAAAGCCCATGCCCCTATCTTTTGAGCTCAAATTAGCCCAAGGGATGGAGGGACTCACTGAACACTGATATCACCAGCCAGCCTTCCTAAATCTCTCTGCTCACATGCCTATCTAATTGGCTCAGCCTCCCTTAGCAAGAGGCATTCTAAGAGGAAGATTACTCAATTAAGGCTCATGGTAAAGTCTTGGTCTCTGAGTCAGGTTCACAATAACCAAGTGCTGGTGGACCTGGGTGGCCTAGTTCCTCCCCAATTTTGAACATTCGAGACACCATCTCTCCTGAATGTTCAAAAAGAAATACACAAAAGCATATTATTTCTTGTTGGCTGTAAGAAAACTAAAAGGAAGACGACGCACATCCTCTCCTTGTGGAAGTGATGACTCCATGCTCAACTTTGAAATGAAAGAAGGAAAAAGAGGCGGCAGGGGAAGGGGATGAACCACAGGTCCAAGGGCAGAATTTCTGCAACTGACCAGCCCCTCAACAAAACGGGCTGCCAGACCCCAGAACCGAAAAGGGTTCTGCAGCCAAAGCAAGTAGAGCTGCACCTTCCAGGGCAGCCCTTTGGCCCCAGCACACGTACTTGGCGTAGACCTTCTCCAGTAAAGGAAGCCAGAACACATCCTCCCTCTGGCAGCGGGAAAAGCACAGTCTCCCTGCAAGGCATGGCAGGCGGTCATCTGTGGTCACCTCCACCCAGTGTCCAAATTGCCAAATGCGACAGGTGAAGGAGCCCCGGTACTCCTGGTCGGACCAGCTCGGCTGTCCCGGAGGAATGACCTTACATGCAGAAGGAAGCAAAAGAAGACAGTGAGAAACAAGTGTCACCCTGTGCTCTTTAAGGCATTCTAACCACAGCACAACAACAACTGACCCCCTCCACAGGCACTGGCTGTTTGCAAAGAACTCTATTCCACACCTAGATGCCAGAACTCATGCAAAGCTCAATCACTGGATGCAAACTTAACAGATCTTTCATTCAAATATTTTAGGACCACACTGAGGAAGCCAAGTGTCCCTATATGTGTTCTACTGTCCTAACTAAGCATCTGACCTGAATCTAAAACACATGTGACTTTCAAGAGCATGAGTGACCCAATTCTCAACAAAGCCAGTTGTAAACAACATGTCACCAGGGAACAGCAGTCCCCTCTTGCTGCTGGGGGCCTGACGACCCACATATGCGGCCAGCACCCATTGCTGGGCTTCTTCAGGGGTTAGTGTTCTGATCCAGCACTAGGAGAGAATCCAGGCTTCACACCAGGCAGACTTGGTGTGGTCTTGGCTCTGCTGCTTATTAGCCAGAAACACGATGACAGTGGCTTTACCATCCTCACTTATTAAAAGGGTCAAAGCTGGCAAGGCTGTGAGACAGAGTCAGCAACTGTGACATGCTTAACATGGGGCCTGGGACATGAGCAAAACTCTGAACAAGGTCACCACTGTCAATGCTGTTGCATTAATCAGTAATACTTAGCAATGAGCCAAGCATAAAACAGTGAACATTCCTAGGTAAGGAAAATCAGAGACATTCTCTGCCTGTGGTATCTGCCTAACTTCAGAAACAGTTTTTTTTCTTTTTGTCTTGTTTTGTTTTTAGAGATGAGTTCTTGCCAAGTTGCCCAGGCTCGTCTCGAACCCCTGGGCTCAGGCAATTCTCTCGCCTCTGCCTCCCAAAGTGCAGGGATTACAGGCTTGAGCCACCATACCCTCTAGAAACAGTTTTAATAACCTTTTGCAAATTTATATTCAAAACTTACCAAAAAAATCAGCTAGCTTAGGAAACATTCCAAACCAGGGACAGAGGCTCCCTCAGCAGTCCTGTCCTCTGGACTGGTGCATTTGTCTCTTTATTCCTAATGTGTGGCTCTGAGGTCATGGAGAGCCTGGGGCTCAGAAGAGCACTGAACAGGGCAGACACCTCCCTGATGGCAGCCCTCCTGCAGGGGAGGAACAGTCCTTAGTCTCTGCCTAGGAACCCTCATACTTTCCCCTAGCCATCCTGGGCAGTCATGGCAGAGGTACCCACACAGCAGGAGACCCGCTGAAGCAAGGTTCTGCTTTGGGAAGAGTTCCAGGTATGTGGCAGGCAGGTGGACACATGCAGCAGAGAAACTGGCACCATCACCAATATGGGCAAGGAGGCAATTCCACACCTGGTCCAGGAGGTTCCTGCTCTTCTGCAGCGCAGCACACGCACACAAGAACCAGCAATCCCCCAGCAGCCCTTGCTTCACCTGTCCTTCCCATGGGTTATCTGGAAACAGCCGGGGCGAGGCACAAATTTCCTGAAAGAAAGAAAATTATCCAGAGTCAGATCATGTCTGATGGTTCATGTTTCAAACTAAGAACTCAAGGATCTAGGTGAAGGGGGTTGAAGAGGAGATTCTGATCATCAATGTTGCCAAAAAGGGGACAGGAAACAGCTGTCTTCTTACAGCCAGTGTCCTTCAACACCTCCTGGCTTCAGATACACCTGTGAAGCTTGGATTCTGGGATGTCCATCTCTGGCTATCTTCCTTATTGGCAAAATAAGATTTCACCATGTCCCTTCTCGAAGCAGCTAAGTGTTGGTTTAGAAAATAGTGTTACTTTAAATTCAGGATGGCAATTCTCAAATGAGTCCTCCATTCTGCTGGGAAGCCTGTTTCTCTAGAAGCCTCCATGTCCAATATCTCCAGACTATTTTATACCTTCTGCTTTTTCCCAATCATCTCAAAATATCCATGCCCCCCTTGCCCATGCCCCTTTGAGCTGCTCACTTTATCTCCTGCTTCACCAGAACCCACTGAGCCTGACCCCCTCTCCTGCTCTCCTGTTGCCTCATAGCCTGGACTCCTCCCACGATTCCTCTCCTACCACCTAGAGCAGAATCCACCAGCATAAAGACAGGAGACATGTTCTTTAGGATACTATCCCTTGGCACCATATTTGCCCTCAGGTTTCCCCTCATTGACAACATTCTCAAAAGAGCTGCCATCTCTACCTCCTCTCTCCCATTCACTTTCAACACAGGTCCCTCTAGCTTCCGAGCCAATCACGCTCCCCAAACTCCCTATATCAAAGACACTTCCATGTTGTTAAATCCATTGGGCATGTCTCTGTCCTTGTCTTTCCAGCTACTCAGCAACATTCAGAAAAGCTGGCCATCCCATGCCCTTAAAGTGGTTCCTCTTGGCTTCCACAGTGCCACATGCTCCTGGGTGTTTTCTCACCTCACCGCCTGCTGTTTCTGGAGTCTACCTGTCAGGCCACCTGCCTGACCCCAAGAAATGTTAGTATTCCTCAAGGCTCAGTCCTAAGCCCCCCTTCTTCTTTACTAGTGATTACCGCTGAGACACCTTTCTAGGACCTGCACTATAAACCATCTAGTACGTATCAATTCCCAGATGAAAGCCCCTAGCCATCTTCCTTAGCTCCCAACTTTCATATCTACCTGCCCACCTGACAGCTCCACCTGTACATGTGAGGGCAAAGCCCAACTCTAGGTCACTCCCACGCCCTACCTGGGACCATCATCCACCCACCTGTTCAGGCCAGAAACCTAGAAGGCATGCTTGATTCCTCTGCTAACCTCATCCTCTATTTCAATCAGTCACTAAGGACTATCAATCCCCCCTCCAAAGTTTTTCTCAAATCCATGACTCCAAATCCATCTCCTAATTGCTGTCACACTAATCGGAGTCCCCTTCAACTTTCTCCAGGACCACTGTGTGGCCCGCTTGCATTTACTGTTTCCCACCTGGGAGCAAGAGTGAGCTTCTTAAATCATAAGTCCAAAAGAAACACTCCTCTCCTAAAAACCTTCTACTGGTCTCTAACTGCACCTAAAAATCAATGTTTTAATAAAATAAAACCCAGATTCCAGTGAAATGGCCTGTAAGGCTCTTCATGCTCTGACCCCTTGCCTCCATCCAGGCCCTTCTTTGTTGCTCAAGGAAACCAGGAGGCCTGTCAAAGCCACTTCAGTCACCAGAGCCAAGAAGTTCCAGTTCAGTTCAAGTCAGTTGTGTCCACTAAGACCATGTCCACTTAGGGCAGTCTTATTTATATCTGAAAATATCAACATAGCACTAGGCCAGAAAATCCCTCAGAGTGGCTATTTTTCAGTGTTTACAACTGGAAGTGCATGTGCACGAAGTTCAAAACTGACATTCTACCACAACTTTGTTTTGTGGGCTCAGTCTGGTCATTCCAGAAGAGCACGAGAGACCCTCACTGCCTGGAGGAGTAGACGCAGATAAGCACAAGAAACGAGAGGGGGCCGCTGTGGCCAGAACCGGCATGCAGACTAGAAGGCAGGTGTGGTCAGACGCTCTTCAGAGCAGAAGCAAGGAAGTGGAGCTGGGCTTGTGTCTCTGTTAAGACGTCTCCCTCGTTGTGCCTAGATTCTCCCGGACCAGAGCTCTCGCAGGTGGGGGCCACGATCTCGTCTCGAATCCTTTAGGGTTTGCCTGGAGTCTTGCTCGTTCTGAACGGGCTTGAGAAGGGGACACGGAAGAGGGGTGCCTAGGAGCCTACTTCCGAGGGTAACAACAGCAGGTCCCACGTCCGGAGCGACTCCGGCCGCCCGCTCCCCCTCGCCCTGCCCCCCGCAGTCTGGCGAGGGGCAGCATCTTAAGAAGCCAGAAACAGCGTCCGCGGTACCCCGTCCTACCCCACCTGGGGCCGCCTCCACGTGATGTCCTCCCGGAACTGGGCCAGCGGTGTGGACAAGTTGAAGAAAAGCGAGGAATCCGAGGCGGGGAAGGTGGTGTCCCGGAAGAGCTCCCTCGCCGGCACGGGCGACCCGCCCCGGCCTGCCCGCATCTTCGGTGTCCCAGGATCCCATCTGCAGCCCGTGGACTCCGGGTCGCAGCCCCGGAGGGAGGGTGCGTCATTCACCGCCCTCCCCCAGGTCCCTTACCCCACTCAGCCCTTCCTCCCGGCAGGACCCGCAGATACTAATCAGGCCAGGGCGCCTGCCGGCTTCGTCGCCCCGGTAACCACCCTGCAGCCAACCAGGCGCGTCACTCCGGGTCACATGACACAGCGGCCCACTCGCACTCGAGCTTTGGGAAGTGCGCGCCGGACTTCCGAATCCCAGGAGACAGGGCTCGCGAGTTCGGCTCTCGCGCGGCCGTGCTGTCAACCCCGCTGTATTTTTTTCTTTCGGGGCCGGTGGGACCCGGAGCTGTCCCGGCCAGGGCTTATACCCAGAGTCCCAGTGGGCATTGTATTCTCGAGACGGTGCGGCTCGGGCCGAGGCGTGGGGGGTGTTGGGCTTGCAGGCTCTTGGAGCTGCAGGGACTTGAGAGGCAGCCTCGGCGGAAGTCGCTCTGCCGACTACAGGTCCCAGCATGCAGCGCTGCTCCTAGAATGTGTCCTCCTTCCTACTTCTGTCCGCCCCTTGGCCTGAGCCGCCCGTGGCGGCTGGTTGCTGGGAGAAACTCGCTTGGGAAGGCGAGATGCGAGCTGCCACGGCTAGCGCTAGTGCCTGCCACTGTTGTGGTTGCGTTTAGGGGTCCTGGGGAATGGAACGGTTCCGAGGGAGGGACCTGAGGTAGCGGCGTCGCCAGGGTTGGGCCTTCCCAGGCCTAGGCTTTGTCTCCAAGCATTTGTGGGGCGAACGCTCTGGATCCCACCCCGGGGCAGGGGTGAGGCCAGAGCATTCCGCTGAGCATTCTCCTGTCCCCAGATGGCCAAGTCTGGACCTGGTGACTGGACAGTGACATTCCGGACTCACAGTTCATGGCCACTCAGTCCTGGGGAGGTGAGGACAGTGACAGTAATCTCCGGACCTGCTCGAGGAGTCACCCTTTCTGCAGGAGCCTATCCTTCCTTCCCGGGAAGGAAGGCGGCCAGCCAGAGATTTGTTCTCTGCCTGCCCCTCCATGCCTGCTTCACTGAGCTTGGAACATTTACAGAGGGCCGGGCAGGGAAGGAGAAGGGAACCTCAACTCTTCTAATTACAGCTATTTGCCACCTGTTAGAGCTTCTCAGATTGTGCCTTTTTAGGCCACTTTTACCCAGTAGTGGTATATGAAGAATGATAAACTTGAAGTCGGTTTTTGCAGCTAGAAGAGAAAGGTCCCTACTTTTGGAAGGGAAATGGAACCTGGTTCAGGAGTCCCAGTTTTGTGTGTGGGTTGCATCTCCTCCCTCTGAGAAGCCAGACAGGGACTGCATGGGAAGCTGTTATTCAGGTGTCATAATGCTGGGCTAGTTTGATTCCCAACAGACCCAACCTCATTTTCAGGACCCAGGGTACTCCTTACTGTGGTTCTAGAAAAGAGCGTGACCACATCGCCCAACACCTCTCTGGGATGCTTCATGCCCACTCAGCACCCTCATGGTGCAGTCTCTTCCAGAAGTTGTTTCTGACTTGGTAGGCAGGTGACTGTACCACAACTGAAAGGAATCAAGAAGAGCCTGGGCTCTGCTTCACCTAGAGATCCTGGAAGAGAAAGAAACTCATTTTGCCCAGGTAGCACATATGGGTGGGTAGTAGAGCAGGGGTAACCCAGGATCCAGACTTTCCTTGGGGGCCTTTGCCGTGCCACTTGCCCAGGCTGCCAGGATCTGGAGAGGCAGCAACTTCCTGGTCACAGCCATGTCCAGGGCTGAGCCTATGTCCAGAGACAGATCTCTAGGATCTGGAAGAGACCAAGAGATGATTGGTATCGGGTAGGCAGCAGTCCAAGCCTACAGGGGCAAGTGAATGACCAGCACAGCTAGTGCTTCAGTCAGGGATGGCACAGTGCAGGCCTGTATTGACCTGCCCCCACCATTTTCCCATAGTATGATTTGGATGTGGTCTGTCCCCACCAAGACTGTTGAAGTTTGATCCCCAATGTGGCAGTATTGGGAGGTGGCACCTAGTGGGAGGAGTTTGGGTAATGGGGACAGATCCTTCATGAATACATTGGTGGCCTGTGTTGGGGGTGCTGGAGTGAGTTCTCTCAAGAGTGGGTTGTTAACCAGTAAGGCTTCCTTGGTTTCTCTCTCTTGCTTCCTCTCACCATGTAACCATGTGATCTCTTCCCGTCCAGTTTCCACCATGGGTTGATGCAACGTGAGACCCTCATCAGATGCAGCTGTTCAGTTTTGAACTTTCCACCACAATTGTGAGCCAAATAACCTCTTTTCTTTATAAATTACCCAGTTTCTGATATTCTGTTACAGCAACACAAAACAGACTAAGACACCCCATGTGCCCTCTGGTCCTATCTCAGCCATTTCGGGCAGCATTCCCCTCACCCTTCTGGGCTCATCCCCAGTCCTGCACATAGTGGGTCTTCTGGCTCCTGAGATATCAGTAGGGTTTGTAAGCAGCTTGGATTGGTGAGATAAGAAGGGGTTCTGGAGGCAGCTGGTACATGACCCCAGTCTCCTCAGCTGTGGGCTCTTAGACTCAGGTACTGTAGTTAAATTTAGTTAGGGCCCTCAATGCAAGGAAGGAACACCATCCCCATAGTGCAACATTTGAAGGTTACAGGAAGATAGGGTCCTGCAAGCAGGACTAGTTCTCCTGGTGACCCCACTTCCATTCATTAGACTCTGAAACACATTTAACCACTTCCTTCCCGAGTTTATGGATGTTAATGGGTTCCATGGACTCAGCCTTGCCTGCTTCCTCCCTTTCTGCTGCCCCACTTGTTTTGCCTGGATGACTATCCTAGTTTTTCAAGGGAATGCTCCCTAACTTCCTTGGCTGGGAGGGAGGTTTCTTCTGAGCCTTACATTTCCATTTGTACAGAAGACAATACTTAGGCACTTCTCTGTGCTGGTGATTGCATTCTCATGGAGATACAAAGATTAAAAATTAGAGTTTGTCCACAAATTGCCTAGAGTTAGCAAAGATTGCCCTTCATGGAATTGTCGCAAATAGGGAAGAGTGGGGGTGGGGTTCTTCTGCTCTTTCCCAGCCTGGAGGTTCCAGCTGAAAGAATCTTCCCAGGCAGGGCTGGAGCAAGAATTAACTCAGTCTTAACTGCAACCCATGCTCAGTTCTCCAAGAAGAGTGAAGAGGGTTACATCTGGGGCATCCCCTGAGGGCTCAAAACGGCCATCCTCATTTGAAACGTGTTGAGACACTGAGTATGTGTGTTTCTTACACATCCCAGAGGTAGCTATGCCTGTCTTGTCTTACCAGTGTAAACTTGAGCTTCAAAGGGAAGAGGTGGCAGCTCAGGACCACACAGCTGTAGGTAGGACACAGCAGCTCTTTGGAGCGGGGCAGCCAGTGTAAAACCAGGCCAACCACTGCTCACTGCTCACTTCAGCGGGAGAAATGAATGGTTTGCTGATGATATTTCAGCTAAAGCTTTGTGGGGTTTTTTCCCAATATAAATAAAATACATGCTCCTTATAGGAATTTTTGTCCTGTTGGTCCCCAATGGGCATGTGTATGTTAATTGTATTATGAACATTATGCAGATAATTCCTACAGTTGTCTTTAGTCTTCTGAGGTGAGCATATTTCTGATGTGGGCTATTTTCTGCATTGTGGGTGTTGTATTCCCTTCACACTGTGGAATTTTTTTTTCTCTTTGCTCATTCATTTTGAACAAGGAGAGGTTTATCTGGGCTGGCTGGGTGGGCAGGGGATAGTGATCGCCTTTGCGCTCTGCCCATGCCTATTTAAAACCTTGCTCAGATCCCATGCTGAACCTAGTGACTCTGCAGACATCCTTGCCAAGCTCCACATTTAGCTGACATTTCCCTGCTCTTGGGCTTCTTTTTTTTTTTTTCAGTTGGAGTCTCACTGTCGCCCAGACTGGAGTGCAATGGCCACTCCCGGCCACCGCAGCCTCGACCTGCTGGGCTCCGGCGATCCTTCCGCCTCAGCCTTCCAGTAGCTGGAACTACAGGCTCACGCTACCATGCCCGGCTAATTTTTTTGATTTATTGTAGAGATGAGGTCTTGCCTGCCCAGGCAGGTCTCGAACCTATGGGCTCAGGCAATCCACTCATCTCAGCCTCCCTAAGGCGCAGGATTACAGGCTGAGCCACCAAGCCCGGCTTCTCTTGGGCTTCTTTTCTCCTACTGTCTGACCCGGTGACTATTCAGAGAGAAAATGAAAAAAGAAAAAAAGGAAAAAGTCTTAACAGCGAACATCTGATTCCTTAGTAAAAGAACAATCTTGTTAAAGTAGACAGGTTGTTAGGTATCACCTCCAAAAATGTTAGGTCAGACCTGCCAGGGTGTGTGTCTGAAATCCGGTGCTACGTGAAAGATGCAAAGAATTGCACAGAAGTTAGACTGGAAAATACAGTATATTTTTTTGTTTGTTTCGTTTTGTTTTTTGAGTTGGAGTCTCGCTCCATCACCGAGGCTGGAATGCAGTGGCAAGCTCACAACCACCCCAGTGTCAACTTGCTGGGCTCAGGTGAATCTTCTGCCTCAGCCTTCCAAGTAGCCAGAATTACAGGCACACAGTACCATGCCCGGCTAATTTCTTATTTATTGTAGAGAGTTCTCACCATGTTGCCTGGGCTGGTCTTGAACCCATGGGCGCAGGCAATCTACCCTCCTCAGCCTCCCAAAGTGCTGGGATTACAGGCTGAGCCACCGAGCCCGGCCTCCCTGGTTTATTCAGAAAGTAAATTAGAGAGAGAGAGAGGGAGAGAGAGAAAGAGAGAGAGAGGAGATTCACCTCCCCAAGGTGAAGCTAGAAAATATGGTGACCATAGTTCAAGGAGCCACATGGTCAGAACACAGCTTAGCAAAGCAATGGCAAATAGAATAGCTGCTTAAAGTTGAATACTTTTAAACCTTCCCTTTTATGGGGGGCAGGTCTTAAGGTGATTGGGTGGTAGTCTTTTTCCATGTCATCACAAAGTAGACAGGTAAGCGCAGGTGCTGACATCAGGTGATGGACAGCAGGCAGGTTAGCCACATGACAGT